GTACATCCAGCGGCTGCTGCACTGCCTGGCCCGCCACTGCCAGCTCGACCCAGACCACGTAAGGCTCTGGGACCGGCTTTCTCCGATCCGGTTCTGGCCCGGTTCTGACCCAGTTCTACTTCGCCCCACAGGAGGGGATCCCGGAGGAAACGGACGACTTTGGGGAGTTCAGGATGAGAGTATCGGACCTGGTGAAGGACGTGATCTTCCTGGTCGGCTCCATGGAGTGCTTCTCTCAGGTACCACAGGAACCTCGACCCGGTTCCGGCCCGGTTTGGCCTCTTGCTGATGGCGAGCTCTGTCTTCCAGCTGTACTCCACCCTGAAGGACGGGAACCCGCCCTGGGAGGTGACGGAGGCCGTCCTCTTCATCATGGCATCCATCGCCAAGAGCGTCGACCCGTGAGTACCGCTGCCGAGCAGAACCGGGTCAGAACCACGCCCAGAGCGCTGACGCCGCCTGTTTGCAGGGAGAACAACCCGACGGTGGCCGAGGTGCTGCAGCAGGTGGTGCTGCTGCCGGAGAGCGTGCACCTGGCCGTGCGCTACACCAGCATCGAGCTGGTGGGGGAGATGAGCGAGGTGGTGGACCGGAACCCGCGCTTCCTGGGTAGGTGGACAGGTCCGGGCCCACGGGCTCCAACCAGCCGATGGTTCTGATCCGGCTCTGTGTTCTGCAGACCCGGTTCTGAACTACCTGATGAAGGGCCTGAGGGAGAAGCCGCTGGCGTCGGCGGCGGCCAAGGCCATCCACAACATCTGCTCGGTGTGCCGCGACCACATGGCCCAGCACTTCCAGGGGCTGCTGGACATCGCCCGCTCCCTCGACTCCTTCGCCCTGTCCACCGAGGCCGCCGTGGGCCTCCTCAAAGGTACCGGGCCAGAACCGGGCCGGGCGGGAGGCTACAAGCAGCCAGAAGGCTTGGTTCTTATCCGGCTGTATAAACAATCTCAACTACGGCTAAAACATTAATCGATTATTAAATGATGAATTTAGTGAGTGATAAGTCATTGCAGACAGTTAACCAATCGTTAACTGGCTGCAGTGTGATGTCACACGGTAAGCCCCGCCCCCTCTCTCCGCTGGAGTACACAAATCTGGCGCTAGTTGGTTTTTAGCCAGGGTTGGCTAGTGGCTAACGGAGAGCATTGTCCGCTCGCCTGAGTGAAGAGCAAAACACTGAATATAAATCTTTAGCATTTAACTCTACTGGCAGTTTTGGCTTCACCTGCTTCACATCAGAAATAATCTGCTGTATTCCTGATCAATCCGGCAGATTCATTCACTAAACCAACTGATTTTTATAAATTTGTTTTTATATTTAAGAGATGAATTATGTGTTTTTATATTGAGCTTGAATCAGCAGAATGTGACATTTTTTCCAATGAATTGTCAGAATAATAAACAGAATCGTCCTTTAATGTCCCAAAGCTTCCGGGGCGGGTCCAATAGAACTTTTATTTTGAGCAGCAGAACCTCATGAATCAGCTGAGCTCTGTTCGGGCAGAACCGGGTTGGGTCAGGGGTCTGGGTCTCCTCCAGGAGCCGGGCCCAGTTCCGGTTCTGATACGCAGAAATCGCGTTGCCATGGTGACACAGCAATATCACTTTGTAGTCGGGTCTGAAGGGAATCGGAACCAGCTGGGTTTGGACCCGGAACCTCCAGCAGCTCTGCTTTAAGAACCGTTTGGACCTGCCGGTTCTGGCCGGTCCGGCTGTGACTCTGACTGTTACCTGTGCAGGTACGGCGCTGGTTCTGGCCCGGCTGCCTCTGGAGAAGATCGCGGAGTGCCTCAGCGACCTGTGTGCCGTTCAGGTTCTGGCTTTGAAGAAGGTGAGTGCGCTCCAGGTCGGGCCGGCGCCGCCGAGCCGGAACCGGTCTGACTGGGTTCTGTCCCAACAGCTGCTGGCGGAGCGGTCCAGGAACGGGAAGTCGGCTGACCCGACGGCGTGGCTGGACCGACTGGCCGTCATCTTCAGGTGAGTGGAGCTGCAGGAAGATTCCCGCCGCCGCCGCAGACAGTGAACGCATCGTCTCGTCCTCAGACACACGAACCCCATCGTGGAGAACGGCCAGACGCACCCGTGCCAGAAGGTGATCCAGGAGGTGAGGCGCCACACACCTGGACCCTGGCTGACACACCTGGACTTTACCTGTCCCCACCTGTCCTAATCTGTCCCACCTGTCCCCCCCAGATCTGGCCCGTCCTGTCGGAGACGCTCAACGCCCACCAGGCTGATAACCGCATCGTGGAGCGTTGCTGCCGCTGCCTGCGCTTCGCCGTGCGCTGCGTCGGGAAAGGCTCTGCCTCCCTGCTGCAGCCGCTCGTCACTCAGGTGAGTCGCCGTCGGAACGGGGTCTGTGGGCGGCTGTTGCCGTGGCGACGCTGACGGGACACTCATGTCCTCCAGATGGTGAGCGTCTACCAGGTGTACCCGCACTCCTGCTTCCTGTACCTGGGCAGCATCCTGGTGGACGAGTACGGCATGGAGGAGGGCTGCAGGCAGGGGCTGCTGGACATGCTGCAGGTAAGCCGCCCTCACCTGATCTAGGCCACGCCCCCTGCTGGGCCGATGACCAGGAGCCGCTGTGTGTCCTGCAGGCGCTGTGTATGCCCACCTTCCAGCTGCTGGAGCAGCCAAACAGCCTGAGGAACCACCCGGACACCGTGGACGACCTGTTCAGACTGGCCACCAGGTGAGCTCACCTGGCTTCCTATTGGCTGCACATGTTAATCATCAACTACTAAAACTTAACAACAGGCCAAAACTCAGAATAACCAGCAACAGATTGAAACATGGAGCAGCGTTTCAGCGGGTCAATGAAGGTTCTGAAGCCAGAGCACCGTCCCTCTGTCCCCTCTGTCCCCTCATGTCCTCTCCGTCCCCAGGTTCGTCCAGAGGAGTCCTGTCACGTTGCTAGGCAGCAGCATCGTGGTCCACATCATCCAGTGCGCCATCGCCGCCACGTCGCTCGACCACCGGGACGCCAACTGCAGTGTCATGAAGTTCATCCGAGACCTGATCCACACCGGAGTCGGCAACGACGTGAGTCGGAACCAGAACCGGTCCGGAGGCTCCAGGAGGAGCTGGTGGTGCCGTTCACTGGGTTCATCTCTCCCTCTCCCCTCCCCAGCATGAGGAGGACTTCGCGCTGCGGAAGCGTCTGATTTGTCAGGCCATGGAGCAGAACGGCCAGCAGCTCATCAACCAGCTGCTGCACTCCTGCTGCTTCTGCCTGCCGCCGTACACGCTGCCCGACGTGGCCGAGGTCCTCTGGGAGGTCATGCTGTTCGACCGACCCGTGAGTCTTGCCGGTTCTGGATCTGGTCCGGTTCCGGAGCCGCAGCTCACTCCGCTCCTCTGTTCCAGATGTTCTGCCGCTGGCTGGAGAATGCGCTGAAGGGGTTACCGAAGCAGACGGCGGGCGGCGCCGTGACCGTCACCCACAAGCAGCTGACCGAGTTCCACAAGCAGGTGACCAGGTGAGTCCGGCGGGTCGGAACCGGGCTGCACCGAGGCTGGGTGATTAATTTCATTATTAGAAAATCAGGATATTTTCCACCAATCGCCTCCTTGGGTTTCAGTGATGTCATGGCACCCAAGGCGGCCATCTTGTTTGACTTAGTATGAGGGCCAGGCTGCGATTTCTATTTTTAATGAAGAGGATAAAGTTGGAATACTAAAGATTATTGAGTTTATTGAGAAGAAACTGAGCTGCTCACATCAGAAGCTTATTTTATGGTTTTATTCATAAATAAAAATGGCGCTGATCATTTGACTGAAATAAAATCCACTTGAAAATATTTTCTGTCAGTTGTAATTTATTTTTTTTTAATCGATTAAATTAAGATCTGGTATAAAAAAATCCGATTTTATTTTTATCCGCATCGCCCAGCCTCCATTCCTCTTTCATGATGCGAGCCGCTGCTACTTCCTGTTGTTTCTGTTGTTGCCATGCCGACAGCGAGCTGAAGTTTATGTTGAATCCCAGTTCCTGTTCTGACCCGATCAGCCTCCGGCGAAGGCGTCAGGATGACTCATCGTGAGGCATTCAGGGGCCGTCAGCTCGTGTTGGCACCGGCCCAGCGGAGGGCGGGGCGCTGCTGAATCAGAACCAGATCAGAACCGGCGGGAGCGGGTCCAGACTCGCCCTGCCCTCAAACCAGAAGGCCCTCATGTGTGTTTCTCTTTCAGTGCTGAGGAGTGCAAGCAGGTGTGCTGGGCCATCAGAGAGTTCACCAGGCTGTACCGGTAGCTGCAGCTTCTCATGACACCAGGTAGGCACTGGGAATACTGGGAATACTGGGAGTCCTTCACCACAGATCAGCTGGTTAGCTTCCTGCTACCTTCTGTAGATTACACCGAGTCAGAATAAGAAGGAGCTTCCAAGTTTCACCTCAAGGCCCCTTACAGAACCAACCTGGTACATAACGCGACTCCATAGGCCCATGTTAGCGCTGGGTAGCGGTTAGCGTTAGCCTGATGAGCCTCAGGTGTTTCCAGGTGGGTTATAGAAAGTGTCCTGAGATCTTTGGTGCTATTTATCAATACTTTGTTACTGAATTAGACCTGAATCTCTTTATTGTTTGCAGAACAAAATTAAATTTCAGCCAAATCCCAAACAAAGACAAGGGAGACGTTACCTGCTGAAACGATTTTTTATCTCAAGATATTTACTGTAGAAACAAGAAAAAATACATAGTTTTTACAGTGTGGTTTCATGACTGATGAAGAGCTGAAACCGCTCCTCTTCCTCATCCTCTTCCTCAGGTTAAATCTTTAGTTGACCAACATTCAGAGGTGACGGCAAAAAGCTGCGACTGCAGACGAGGAAGACGGAGGGACTTTGAATGTGAAACGGGACTCTGTGACCTGACGGAGGAGAGACGGACGGAGCCCACCCCCCCCAGCTCACCTGCAGCAGGTGGTTCTGGGTGGGCGGGGTCAGGACCGGTTCCTGCTGGACCCTCGGAGGCGATTAATCAGGACGTGCCTGCTCAACTGTTTTTAAGAGATTTATTTTTGGGACTTTGGTCAAGATGTTTCTGTCTGTGCCAAAAAACAGAGCCAAAAAATTCCCCATGATGCTTTGGGCCGCGTGGCGGAACGCTGGAGGATTTGGCGTCACCTTTGACCTTTTATCTTTGGTTTATTTTAGTTGTTTTTCCATGAATGGAAACAGAGAGGACTGTGGGTAATGAGGCGGACTGACACCATGACATCAGTGGTGATGTAGCCTTGCTGTAAACAATAAAACAGCTGAAAACACTCTGCTTCTTCTTCTGTGGTTTTAGAAAGGGAGACACACTGGGAACCGGTCTAACCAGTAACCGGGGGGCATTAACACCTGAGCTCAGGTGTTTCTGTAAGCTGACCCCACCTGATGAAGGGTGAGGTCATCCTCTCCTGAGACTGGGAGTTCTGGTTAGACTGGTTCCTGCTGCAGGGCCCGGTCCGTCCTCTGGACGGCGCCAGAGAGCAAACTGAACAATCAATAATGAAATGCAGATTTGGTTCTGATGGACCAGCAGCAGAATACTGCAGCGGTTCTGACTTGGACACTTGGTGGTACCGGACTTGCCAGATGGAAATCGATTAATCGGGTCTGACTGACTCGGTTCTAGAAGAGTTCCTGAACCGCTAAAGAATTCCCCACAGACCAGAACAAGAACTATGGTTCTGTCTCTGGTTCAGGTCGCACTGACCAACCGGTACCAAACTACCTGGAACTGTGATGAGCAGGTTCTGTGTGGACAGGCCTGGTTCAGAAGCCAGGTCTGGGTTCGGTCAGAACCAGAGCCTGAAGCAGCCAAAGTCCAAATAAAAACCTTCAGGAAGAAACCAGAACCTTCTGGGTCAGCACGTGGGACCGGGCAGGCAAGCAGAACCCGGACTGAGAGTTGGGAGGTATTCAGAACCAAATGCCTGGACAGCAAAGAAGAAAACAGTTCTGGTCGGTTCTGGTCCACCAACGACCCAACCCTTCGTGATGTCACAGAGGTTGAACCCCAGAGTTCTGGTCCAGGTTCTGGTATCAGCTGGTCCCCATGGAGAACCCAGTAGGGGCCTCTAGAGAGCCAGCGGGGGCCCAGGGCCCGGTTGGACCCAGTTGGTTCTGGAGCAGCCGCTGCAGCTCCTTGAACTGCTCCACCGTCTGGTCCTTGACGTCCGGGTTGGAGATCTGCAGCCGGATGCTATCGGTGGACCAGGCCAGTTCTCCGGAGAACATCTCCGTGAGGATCCGGGCCACCACCGGAACCACCTGCACAGCAACAGAACCTTTATAACCCGCACTAGCAGAACCTGGGTTGACGTGACCATCAGCCACCCACCTGGACCATGATGAGCTTCTTCTCTTTGGGCTTCCTGTCAGGCCAGTCCTCTCCGAAGCAGAAGAAGACGTCAAATGGTGGCGGGTTGGCGGCTTCACCTTTCTGGAACAAGATGAGCCCTGTGGACCAGAACCGCGGTTAGAACCAAACTGCCACTAGAACTGAACCCCAGAATAAGTTCTCCACACAGAATCGCCTACAGCAGGGTTGCTCAATTCTAGTCCTCGATAGCTACCATCCTGCAACTTTTAGAAGCATCCTTACTCCAACAGACCGGACCGGCTTTGAACAGGCCTGGTAACGAGCCGTTTATTTGGTTCAGGTGTGTTGGAACAGGGATGCATCTGAAAGTTGCACGATGGTAGCTCTCAAGGATTGGACTTGAGCACCCCTGGCCTACAGGAACCCGAAGAACCGGGTCAGAAGACGAACCTTGCAGGAAGTCGTTCAGGCTGAACACCCGGATCCTCCTCTCCCGCTCCATGGGGTTGGGTGGACCCAGTTCTGGTATTCCTGGGCCAGACCAGAATACCTTGCACTGACAGAGGCGGATGGCGTAGATGTCCTGCTGCTGGATCTCCAGGATCAGACCGCGGTCCATCACGTCCAGCAGAGCGTCCGTGTAGAACCGTTGCTTCTGGTTCTGGATCTCTGCCGTTCCCGGGAACAGAACCTGCTGCAGACTGACTGGACCGAACAGGTCCACCTGCTCCGGAGTTGGTTCCAGGTGGCCGTAGTAGAGCCGGCAGCCCTGGGGGTTGCTGACTGTCAGGGAGCCCATGGCCCGGCCCCGGTACCAGAACTTCAGGTCCAGATCTGTTACTACAGAACCAGGACAGGAGAGGCCTTGGTTAGTGAGGCAGGGAATAATGACGTTACTAACGGCGTCTCTTTCTTCAGTAACAAGTAATCTCATTACTAACTAATCTAATTACAAGCAATCTAACTTCTTCATCGCTACAGCGCCGTTTCTGTTACTGACAATAAAATGCAGCGCATGACTTTAATTCAGCGGACAGAAAGCTAAAGCTGTGACCCAGCATCGACTTCAATTAGTGGCAGTAGCACCTGTATGTATGATGTAAATGTAGTGTCGCTGTCCTTTTTATTTAAAAAAAAATGTATTTACCTGAAAAAAACAATCAGTGGCAGCTCCACTGTCTGGAACTACCACTTTCCATTCAGTAAATGTCAAAATACTACAGATCTTACACGGTTTAATAACCAATAACACCATAATTAAAAAATAACATGTCTTCTAAAAACTGGGGTCGGCATTCCGCAAAACAGCAGTAACCAACTACTTTAGCAGCTCTGGCGCGATAGTACTAGGTGATACTGCATCTCTGCTGCTGATTTGCTGAGAAAAACTAAAAGAGTCGCTGTAAACCAGGGGTCACCAACTCCAGTCCTCCAGTCCTACCATCCTGTAACTTTTAGATGCGTCTCTGCTCAAACACACCTGGATCAAATAAACTACTCATTTCCAGCCTGTTGCAGAGAGGAATGAATGCTGGTGAGGGAATTCAGACATTTTGGAGCAGAGGTGAATCTAAAAGTTGCAGGATGGGCCCTGAAGGACTGGAGTTGGTGACCCCTGCTGTAAACCAATCAGAGGCAGAGTTGGGCGGGCCTTCACAAACGAGCAGTGAGCGGAAAGCAAATAAACACATAAGCGGAAGAACCATTTGCGGAGCGGGCCAGCTAAGCTAAGCCAAGCACAGATCAAGCTACACGTGAAAGAAACGCTGTTCTTTATATCACTTCTAAGAAACTTTGAGCTCATGACCCAACTAAGCCAGTCACCAGGATGGCTGTTGATGCTAGCAGGTGAGGCTAATATTATTAGCTCGGTGTATAAAGATGGCGACGCTGCCCATCAGGCTAAGCTTGGTTTTACCGACCGTTTCGTTTCCTATTCAGTGTCCATTTGATTCAGTTTTATGATAAACAGTTGAGCATAAATGATAAAGAGGGGATATGTTTTACATATTTACTTTCCCTGGTAATTAGTTATTTTTACAGTATAGTAACTGGTACTTTTTATTTTTAAAGTAGCTAATATAGTTTCTTTCAAAGTAACGTGTCCTGCACTGGACCCGTTTCAGAGTTCTAGAGGAGGGCGGGCAGCCCCAGGCCTGGAGGGCCAAACTGAGGTCGTTAGCAGAACCTGATGCACTGAGGAGGAGATTCAGCTGTTGGACCAGGGAGACGTTAAGAGCTGCAGGACTCCGGCCCTCCAGGACCAGGACTGCCCAGCCCTGTTCTAGAGGAACACGGGTCTGATCAGAACCCAGCTGGGATCACATGACCTGGTAGAACCTGCACCCTGGTCCAGATGGTGGTTCTGTTCAGGTTCTGGACCTATCTAACCTTGCAGGTCTAGTCTGACCAATTACAATTTGAGGAGCTGATGACGTCATCACATTAAGCCTTTGAGGGGTCAGTGGAACCGGTTCTGGGTCTCTAATCAGGTCCAGAACCACCAGTTCCTCCTCATTAAACAAGGTTTTAGTACTGGTTCTGGCCCAAGCCACTGCAGAACCTTTTGATTCTGGACCTGCAGTCTTCTTGGAACCAGGAGGTCTGATTAGTTTGGACCCATTCAGTACTGGCAGACTGACTGAGCAGAGGAACCAGAACTGGACCGGACTCACGTGGGACGCTGCTCAGCAGGTCGTACTTGCAGGACTGCTGGTTCTGATGGTCCGACTGGTTCTGGACGGACTCCATGCTGCTGGCCTCCATGCATTCTGGCTGAGTGGAGGACCGTGGGTTCAGGTTCTGGAGTCCGGCCGGGTCGAAGCTACCCGGGTCCGCCATTGAACCCCGAGGCTGGAGGTCAGAGGTCAGGGGCAGCAGTGGCATCGGGATCACCTGGGCCGACCCGAAGGGTGGAAAAGAGGCGGGTTCGATCCGAGGTTCTACAGAGACAGAACCGGGTCAGACTGGGTCAGGCTGTCAGCGATTACCATAGAAACGCTGGAGAGGGACTTACTGATGGAGAGATCAGTGAGGTCCGGCATCTGGAAACAGTCAGGAGGAAAAACTGATAGGTCAGCTGGTTCTGGTTCTTATTTACTGGTTGTGATTTACTGGTTCTGTTCTACTGGTTCCGATTAGGTCCTGTTCACCACGGTTCTGATCCTCACCTCCTCATCGTCGTCCTCGGCTCCGTCTGAAACAGAACCACATCAGAACATGTCAGAACTGTCTCGAAGATTGGACCAGGACCGGTCCAGTCGGCTCACCTGCGGCGCCGGTTCCGTCGCAGACCTCGTAGATCTTGTAGGGGCGGAGCGGCGTCTCCTTGGTTCCGTCGAACCTGAGCCGGAACTCGCGGCTCTTGTTGAGCGCGCAGCGCAGGTTCGCCTTCCACTTGGCCGGGTCCGGTTCGTCCACGCCCTCCTGGTACTTCCCGGTCTCCACGGCCCACGCCTGCAAGAGGGTTAGGGTCAGAACCGGGTCAGGAGATGCAGCCGGTGCTGCTTCCGGCCTGGATGGAGAGGTTCTGGGTCCAGATTCCAGGTTCTGGTTCTGGTTTGCGGTGAAGCGACCAGAAAGAGGAAGCAGAAAAAGCGGAACCACGCTGAGCAGAACCGAAACCTGCAGCGGCAGGAAGTCCAACAGGAAGACTGAAGCACATGTTCTGGCCCGGTACCGACCCGGCCCAGTTCCCCTTTCATCCCGGGCCCCCCGCTGCCAACGGACCCAGCGGAACCGAACCTTAAAGATGGTGTTCTCTTCCTCCGACATCGGCGTGTGGCGGGTCGCGTGTTTCCATGGGATCTGAAAGAGCCGCTGCTCCGAACCGAGCCACTGCAGTCCCGGATACCTGCCGCTGTTCACCTGGGCCAGCAGCCAGGGCTTCAGGCGGATCCTGCGGGGGTGGATGCTCATGGTGGAGCACTGGGAGGACTGGGAGCACTGGGACCTGTGGGTAGAAGGACGAGGAGGCTTAAGGTTTCGGAAGGAACAGCAGTCTGAGTCCAACTGGACCAGCATGGCTTCCTGGGGTCCGAACCGGTTCCTGAACTGGTCTGGGTTAAAGTTTTTCTGCAGATGATCCGACTCAGAAACCAGTTCGGCTGATGAGCCAGTCAGTTCGGAACCAGTCTGTCGCTGCAACGGATCTCAGATCACTACGCTGATGATGGACTCACCTTGGCTCGGTACCTGGTTCCGGTTCTGCGATCTTGGTGTGAAACAGTAGCGTGCTCCGAACCGAACCATCAACATTCAAACGAACAGTTCGGCACCGGACCGGAGCGGTACCGCCCGACAGAAAGTTCCTGGGAGTCTTTTAGCTGAAGTAAAGTGAGTCTGCATGAAAACTGCTTCCGCCCAAAGATGATATTACTTTCAAAATAAAAGCTCCCGCCATACCGTTTTGATCGGATCGCTTGAAGCAGAAAACCCCTAAAGTTCATCTGAAGATGGTTTTATTGAAAGAATAATTATCGTTTTATGAGTCGAACCGGCAGAACATTTTCACTAGAGCAGGAATCCGTCAGCATGAGGCCATGAGGCTTTTATTTTGAAATAGTTTCCGGGGTGTGACGTGTGCCTGCATGTTAGCCGACATGTGTGGGTGTTTTTCAGTTAACTTTTAGGTTCCTCCTTCAGAACAGAACCAACAGGATTCTGGAGGGTCCAACTGAACTCAGACGGTTTCCAGAAGATCAAACACTTCCAGTGATCCAAGATGGGTCAGAACCAGCACCTGGCAGTAGAAAGGTGCCCCCTTCAGTGACCTCCTCTGACCCAGTTCTGTAGAATCGAGGCCAGTGGTTGCAGCTCATCATCATCACTCCCAGAGTCATGGTGATGAAGAGGACAGGAAATTATTCTTTGTCTGGTTTTGGTGTCCACTGAGACATTCCCAGGGCCAGAGTTTCTGGATGACCCGGAAGTCGAAATGGACCTTCCCAGTGGTCCCAATAAGCCAAAGATGTGCTGTGGAACTCTGAATCAGAACCAGAACCAGTCCCAGTGGGTCAGCAGTGATTCACGGTGGTGTCTGAGTAATGCTGTGGGAACAGACAGATGCTGTCCTGCTGGACCTTCAAACAACAACTCTACAGTACCTCCTGGTCCACCAAACCTGGTTCTGGTGAAGTCATCCTGACTGCAGCTGGTCTGGTTTTCATCAAGCTGCTGATGTTTGGATGTTTATCTCCTGAAGTTGTTTCTGATGTTAGAACTCCTCCTGGCCCAGAACGTTTACTGGAAGGAAAAACTGAAGACGGTTGGAAATGTTCCTGAGACGGCTGCAGAGCCTGAGTTGCCCTGTAGGAGGCAGTAGTTCATCTGTGTACTGGAGGACAAACCGTTTTGGATGGTTCCACTTGAAGCCACTAGGTGGCAGTATAGGACCAATCAGCTGCTTTAATAAACATAAACGGTTCTTCTAAAGTTGATCCGGGCTGCAGCTGGTTCCGGTTTGGGTCTCAGTAGCTCTTAGATGCTCTAGTGTTCATAAACTCAGTTATTAGTTCAGATAACTCGGGTATAAACGGCATCATAACTATATTACAGATTTGTTTCCTCAAATATTACATTTTGCTTCTTATCTTGTGTTTTGAAGAGCTACTTAACTAATTAAAAAAAGAAATATGAAAGCTTCACTTTTATATTTTCGGAATGTTTTACACTTTGGATCAATAAAACACTTCATCTTTTATTATTTTTAAAATATTTTTGTTTTTCTGACTACTGATCAGATTCCTGAAGATCCATTAGAAACTGATGTTTTTATTCCCATCTGAAACGAGGTCCAGACCTTTGGTTCCTGGTGTCACCAGGCAGATTTAATTAGCAGACCTTCTCAGAAGATCTGATCAGAACCATAGAGACGGAAAGAAGAAACAGGATTTCATTTTATTTGCGTTTGTCCCCGCCTCAGGATGCAGGGCATGGAGCCGGCTCGCTTGGGCCCCCTGGTGGTCGCACTGCTCACTACTGCAGGTATAGTTAAAATCTCAGGGAAAATCTTCCTGTTTTTGGTCCACAATGTTTATTGAAATAGAAATTAAACATGTTTTTATTCATAAGTAATTTCTGAAGGCATTTTTCATTCAAAGCACTAAAAACAGAGAGTATGAGTTTACATCTGCCAATCAATCACACATTGTATGTCCCAGGCAGTCTTGATTTGTGATTGGCTGGAACAATCTTTCAAGTGTCTCTTGATTGGTCAGTGTTAACGTCCTCGTCACTCTGGGGTGTCCCAGCATGGACCTGCAGGCCTGCGGTGACGTCAGGTGACCTCTCCCAGCCAGAAGCCACACCTGGAGGTTTCTCTACCATGACGAACAGATCCGTCTGGAAGTGGCAGCGGCCCGCCGGATCGCTGAGAGAGACCTCCGTAGATTGAGGCTGAGGTCTGGACCTGCTGTCTGCTGCTGAGAAGGAGGAAGTTGGAGGAGGAAGAGACTGCCTCCGGATGTAGAGACCCTGTCTGCCGTGGAAGCTGCCTGACCGCAAGGATGCCTGACGACGGAGAGCCTCGTCCATGAAGCCTGGAGACCTGGAACTCACCTGTAGGTTAGAGAAGAACCGCAGAGGATCAGTCTGAGCAGAAAGAAACATCACAGGAGGATGTAATGTAGCATCCTCCTGCTGGGGACATCATGGCTACGGGACACCATCATGTCCTCAAATGAAGGGAGATGTCTCCCTACAGCTGGCACATTCTGTAGATGAAGTCATCAGTGGTGCATTATGAACTGCAGCTTCCTCCTGGTTGGAGGATGGATGGAAGCTGAAGAGGAAACGGAGACCTTTGACCTCCAACACCCAGACTCTGGTGTTGGTGTTCAGCAGTTAGCGGGTCTGTAGTACCAGAATCAGTATGGGTCGGTTTTCACCGTTAACACTAGGTTGTTCAGAACCGTTTGCTGACCCTCTGATAGACTGGAGCAGTAGTTCAGAGACGTCTCCATCGTCTGTTTTGTGGTACTCCTGGATCTTCTAAAGGTTCTGAATCTTTTCCATAGTCAATGTTTGTTGCTAATCAGCTGCTGCAGATCGTTCATCTTAAATGGTTCCGTTGGTCATTTAAGATGGTCCAACAGAACCCTGAACCGTAATCCGGCAGACCAAGGTTCTGAGGTTCCTCACGGGGTGATGAGTTTGCCCCATAGTCAGTGAGTTGGTGGTTTGATTCCTGTTTCATCTGCCTCTGTTGTTCACCTATCTTGCCTGCTGGTGGTAGAGCCCAATAGGTGGCATTGTTGCATGGCAGTCTTGCTTCTGTCAGGTTGGCCCAGGGCATCTGTGGCTACCATCCAATAGCTTTCCACCATCAGATAGTGAATGACTGGATTTAGTGTGAAGCGCTTTGGGGTCCTCTGGACTTGACAAAGCGCTTTACAAGTACCGGCCATTTCCCATTTACCACCATTATCTAAACATCTGGTGTGAAGGTTGGTCTGTCAGCTTTGTCAGGTTTCACTTCCTCTTCAGGAGATGTCGTCTTCTGCTCCCTGAGGCTGCAGCCGCTCCTCCACAGCTCTTTGAGGTCAGGACAACCAGGTTTGTTCCCAAAGCTCTTCAAAACAAAAATATCTCAGTGAATTCAGTAGAACTCGGTTATTTGATCTTCACCTTATGGTGCTTCAAGGTTGTGGTGGCTGGCAGGACATCAGCTTCCTGTGGCCGGTGCCTTCGCACGAATCGAAGCAGCAGAAACAGGAAGGCTGACAGAAACATCAGCAGGATCAGCGCTGCGATTCCTCCTGCCAACCTGCTGTCCACATCCCCAAACAGCTGTTGCTCTGTGAACGCACCATGAGGCACTGGAACAGAGGGAACGTGTCGGTGAACTTACCATGAGGCACCAACAGAACAAGTTAAGTCAGTGAATGCACCAGAGTACTGAGTAGGCGCACTGGTAGGCTGCCAGACTGTTCTCACCTGCCTGTCCTCGCTGCAGGACTTCAATGTCCACTGAGGCTGAAGCTTCCTCTCCTGATTCTTCATCCCTGGCAACAACCTGGAAGTCAACATTCAGAGCATTAGCCATGCCAGACTGACCATGTGTGAGCTCCAGAACAGAGAAACTAAAAGCTCAGCAGGCCGAGGCGAGGAGCGTGGTTCGATTCAGCACGTTTAGTAGAGGAGCTCAAAGGAAAGAGAAGAGGGTTAGACAGTTTTGTATCAGAAGAAAGTGAAATTTTGTCAGATTTCTTTATCTAAAGCTGCTGGAAAAAGTTGCCAGTCCATCATCCCTGAACTGGCAAGTAGCTTTCCAGAATATTTCAGGATTTCAGGCAGAACTGAGCAGCAGAGAGACCAGCTGCTGCCTCGCCTCTCTCAGGTTTCCTTCGTTATCTGAAATGTTTCAGGAGCAACTCAGATAAAAACTGATTTATAAAACTGGAGGGAAACGGGTCGAAGCAAAATGTTCTGGAGTGGTTCTGACAAAGATCAATAATTCAGCTTGTTAACCTGTTTAGATGGCGTGTTGGTTCTAGTTATCAGGTGGAACCAGATCCTGGTTCTGTTGGACCGCGGAGCCTGTCAACTGTAGTTAATGAAGTTATTTGAATCCATGTCAGACAAATATACCGGCCCGGTTCTGATTCTGGTCAGAACCAGGATCTGGTTTGGGCTCTGAGTTTCTCCACAGGAGTTCCCTTAGTTTTCTGAACTCTAACGACAAGAACATTCCTCCACAGAGAGGTTTTCCCTCCACAGAACTTTGGTTGTGATCGGGTCAATCTCCTTCAGAACCCGAAGACGGACTGGGAGACGGTGTGGAGTTCTCTGCAGTGTTCTGTGATGTTTTTAACCTGCAGCCCATGTGACTGACTGTCCTGCAGAGAGAAAAGCGTGCTGATTGTCCTGCAGGTGGAGCTGGAGTGGATTCACGCTGGGAAGCTTTTAGTCTCCTGCTGCTTCTGCTGTTTGACTTTCTGCCTCCACCTGAGAACCAGGAGATGGACCAAACATCACACCTCACTGGGTTTTCTAACATAATTTCAGGTTTGATCGAACTCGCCTGCAGAATGTGTCTGTCAAAGGCCCTCAGCTGGTCCGTCCGGGCAATCAGAACACCCTCCTGGGTCACCTGGTACAGTCGGGATGGGGGATGGAGGAAGAACCGGATGTTTGGGTTCACTCCCTGCTTTTGGACAGCAGTGATGAGTTTACAGGTGGGACTCAGGTGAGAGTACAGGAGGGCAGATATGCTTTCTTACATCAGAGAAATCCTGGTCCGATACCTGGACCTGCAACACCTGGTTCCCATAGGTGGAAACAATGGAGGCGGGGCTTGAGCTCTGGATGATGAAGCCTTTGAAGGTGGTTGTGTTAAAGACCGGCGGGAAGGAGTTCTCACTGAGAACCCTGACCACAACCGTGGCCACGCTGTACTTTAACCGGTCCTCTACCTGACACACCTGGACACCAGCGGAAACGGGCTGATCAGAAACATGATGGGGAGACTGGAACAGAAAGTGAAGGAAGTGCTGCTGTTACCATGACGGCAAGCGTGAAGTTTGCTCCTGGCTGACGCTCGTCTACAGCTCTGGTTAGCCTGATCTCACCTGTTCTGTTGTCCATCACAAACCTGCCATGATTGTCACCTGTGGGCTCCAAAACACACCTGGTCATTCCTGGTCAGCTGTTCAGAGCTGTCATGTTGAAATAACGCAGACTTCTGCTCACCTGACAGTATCGTATACATGAGAGGAGCGTTGATGCCTCGATCGCCATCCCTGGCTCTGATTGGACCAGGAGAAAACTCCAGAACCGAGTCCTGAAAGGGAAAATTGGCACACCTGGAAGCTCAGGCTGTCGGCAGCGAAACCAAAGTAAAATTTCTGGCTGTGGTCTTTCCATCACACAGGTTCTCCTCTTTAGGCTCCAAATGTGCTCAAAGAAAACGAATGTTTAAAATGGTGTCTGCTGTAAAACGAACCCACTCATCTGTCTTCCTGACAATTTCTTTGGTTTGACAAATCATGTGGCAAGGCTAAAACTGAGACCTTTCTGTCTTCTCATGACAGCTTTATACGGTGAGGGGCCTCATGTATAAAGCGTGGGTACGCACAAAATGTGCGGCGCCATATTTTACGCATAAGTCGGCATGTATAAAAATTAACTTTGCTTAAAGTTTGCGTAAATATACACACACTTTTTCCCTGCGTGAAAATGTGCGGCGGCCACACAAACCTTTTCTGTGAACAATATCAAACTACAAAGCATCAAAACTCACCTAAATCACTGAAACCTGATGACATTCAGTTATTTAGACCAGGAAGCTTCAAACCTGATGTCTTCTTCATGATTTTAATATTTTATTGTTTAAACGTAAACAATGAAACTGAACCGATTTATCCTCAGACAATAACATGCACACAAAATGATAATAAAAATAATAAAAGGATGTGAAAACCTCATTCCAATGTCAATAATTTTCCTCAGTTTTTGTCTCATTAAGATGTAACGCATCGATCTGTGCGCCGCAGAAAACAGTTTGATTATTTTAAGGTGATCAGGTGTGGAGACAATCACAGGAGAGCTTCGGCTCTGATGGAGAACATCGCCAATGGAAGGATTCAGAGGGAGGATTGATCAGAGATCATATTGATCTGATGGGAAATCTTGATGATGGTTTATTAGCGTTTAGATGAATCCAGACTGATCACCCTGGAGCTCTGAGCAGAACTTAAACAAGGAGCCGTCCGCTTTGTGAATGCGCCTTTATGGACAGAAAGCATCTCTATTCTGTAATTGTACAACTTATTCACACGATTCCTGTATGTAGAACAAACGTCCACATTTTCACTCAGAGCCTCTCTGAGTCTTAAATCCGGGCTGAACGCTCTGCTGCTCCAACGGGCATTTGGACGATCTCTGTCTTTTCTTCTTTTTAAATTGGATATATTTCTTTAAAAATTATTTTTATTTATGTGAGGTGACCTTATGTGTCCTGAAAGCTCCTTTTAAATAAAATATATGATTTTACTGCTACAAACAAGGACGTTGCCATGGTTACTGCTTCACGTGACTGCAGACTTCCAGATATTTATACTAATTTACATTAAAATGCATTTATGGAGCCGACAGGCGACCAGCAGCTGCTCCGTTTCCTGTAAATCAGGATTTATACAGGGAAGGTGCGCAGTGACGTGCGTGCGCACGGCTTTATACATCCGGACTTTTTTGTGCGCCGCACTTTTGCCAAGTTTTATAGTGAAAACTACAAACTCTTTTATGCATGAGGCCTCTGAACCGTTTGGTGGGTCCTAAACTGCAGGGAGTTCTGGTTCTCCTCCTCGGAAACCTTGATAGGGGGGCATCACCGGATCTTTCTCTCCTCTTTCGGCGCTTTGGTTTAAACATCACATCCCCATCAATAAAACGGTCAGGTTCTGTTCTGGCCTTCATAGATCCAACAGTCATTCCTTTACCAGAACCGGTGTTTTGGCTGCAGATGCTGCTGCTGTTTACCTGGTGTTTTCCTGTGATGTTGGCTGTGTAGGTTGGGTTCATGCAGATCGGGACACCTGGGGACACAGGTGTGCAGGGCAGGAAGTGAGGATACTGGTCGTCGACATCCTCAATGTTGATGGTGAGGACAGTGGAGATGTTGAACTTCTCCTCAGTGTTTGATTCCTTCAAACAGAACCGCCCACAGACTCTCGTCATCACATTGACTACACATTGACACTTGGACTATAATGCAGGCATGTGGAGGGGATGGTGTAGGGGGGCTTGAGCACCTGCCCCTTTTGCCCTCAAGTGCCCCTTTTGGTATTTTTTTTAATTATTATTATTATAAATACTTATACTGCAAGAAACAAGGATGTTGCCATGGTTGCTGCTTCACGTGGTGGCAGACTTCCGGGTATTTATACTAATTTACATTAAGATTTATTTATGGAGGCGACAGGGAGGAAGAGCAGCTGCTCTCTATTTCCCACAAATTAGGATTTATAAAGGAAAGGTGCGCGGCCACGTACGTGCACACGGCTTTATGCATCCGATTTTTTTGTGCGCCGCACTTTTCTAAATTTTTCTGTACGCCAAGTTTTAGTGTGAAAACTGCGCAGTGTTTTATGCATGAGGCCCCAGAACAGATATGCTGGACTGTGATGGACAGATGAATGTGGTGGAGGTATAATGATGTGGGACAGTTTTGTAGCAAGAGGACCTGGGCGCCTTCAGCCACCGACTGGACCAGGAGCTCCTCTGTAGACCAGAGTCCTTGAGTCGATGTGAGTTCATCTGTCCAACCTCTGAAGCTTGGTCCAAACCAGGTCATCAATAGAAGTGTAATCTACAGCAGAAAGGCCTAGTCAAAGTCCAGACCTCAGCCTGACTGAGAATTTTTTCTTCTCCAGGATTATCCTGCACGTTCAGATCTGCTGTGTTTCAGCGGGTCAGCAGTGTCCTGCGGTGGGGACGGCAGGAGGTCAAAGCTGCCTGAGTCACGCCCGTTAATGAGAACGTGAGTAAACTGGAGACGAGTCGGGGCGTTCTGCTCGTCTTTATCACAAGCCATGAGGTTCAGCATGTACTGCAGAACCTCTGCTGCTCGGTTCTGTCTGCTGTAGCAGCGAGGCATTCACTGACCACAAGGAGAGTTCGCTCACGCGGCTTTCAGCTAACCCCATTCCTTAGAAAGGATTTCTCTCCACTAAGTCCTTCATTGCAGGAGCTGCTTCACATTCCAGAAGTTAAAGTCCCAGACGTCCCTTCAGGATCAGCAGGAACCAGTAGAACCAGCAAAGCGTCTCCTGCTTTAACTGTGCAGGATGAGGCAGAGTGATTGTCCCTGTTTTCACTCTGCTGATACAAACAGGCCCTGCCACAGGCTGGCGACCTGTCCAGGGTGACCCTGGAACGTTAGCTGGAGAGGCACCAGCAACCCTCCTGACCCCACTAGGGTCAAGGGTGTATAGAAGATGGATGGATGGATCACTTCAGACTGCAGTGTGAACACACCCTAACTTTAGTCTCACCCTCATCATGTCTTTGTCAATCCAAAGCCTGCAGTTCATGTGGTGGAGAAATAAATAATGTTGAGGACATTTGAGGATAACGGGTGATATAAACAGCTGTTTAAAACCCTTTAACTCCTGTCCATACTGAAGGACGGACCTGATCACCAGCAGCGGCCGCTGGTCCGTCCTGCTGAAGATGTTCTCCTCCCAGCCCATACTGGGAACATAGAAGCACCTGGTCCTGTCCAACCCTTCAGGCCACATCTGGTCATCAGCAACCTCTGCATGTACTCCAGGTGAGTCAGGTTGCCTGAACCAGCAGCTGCTGCCGCCTGGCTCTGGGGCTGAGGCAGCTGCTGCTGGTTGGTGTTGGGAATTGTTCTCTCCATGGAACTTCAGGGGCCTCATGCATATATGCATATTTTACGCATAAGTCGGCATGTATAAAAATTAACTTTGCTTAAAGTTTGCGTAAATATACACACACTTTTTCCCTGCGTGAAAATGTGCGGCGGCCACACAAACCTTTTCTGTGAACAATATCAAACTACAAAGCATCAAAACTCACCTAAATCACTGAAACCTGATGACATTCAGTTATTTAGACCAGGAAGCTTCAAACCTGATGTCTTCTTCATGATTTTAATATTTTATTGTTTAAACGTAAACAATGAAACTGAACCGATTTATCCTCAGACAATAACATGCACACAAAATGATAATAAAAATAATAAAAGGATGTGAAAACCTCATTCCAATGACAATAATTTTCCTCAGTTTTTGACTCATTAAGATGTAACTGTGAGCCGAAGCGCATGAAATGCATCTGTGGGGTGATTTAATTCTCACTGAAAAACGGGTTGGGTCAGCAGATTAACTCTAAACAGGTTTTGATTATTTTTAAGGTGATCAAGGTGTGTAAAATCACAGGTATACAAGTAGCTGCATAAAGGTGGAGCTCTTTGGTTCTGATGGAGAACATCGCCAACGAAGGATTCAGAGGGAGCCATTGATCATATTGATCTGCTGAGAAATGTTGATGATGGTTTATTAGTGTTTAGATTCATCCAGACTGATCATCCTGGAGCTCTGAGCAGAACTTAAACAAGGAGCCGTGCGATACCGGTACCGGTACCGGTCCAGCTGCAGTCATCGAGCTGCCTGCTTTGTGAATGAGCCTTATGGACATAAAGCATCTTTATTCTGTAAATGTACAACTTATACACATGATTCTACTATTTAGAATAAACGTCCTATTTACCCACTCAGAGACCCTCTGACTCTGTCTTTAAATCCCGGCCGAAGCCTCTGCTGCTGTTCAGACAGGCATTTGCACAATCTCTTCATTTTCTGATTTTTAGTATTTGAATTTTTTTTCTTTCTTTAAAATGTATTTTTTATTTTCATGAGGTTACCTTATGTTCCCTGATAGCACCTTTTAAATAAAATATTATTATAAATACTCATACTGCTACAGACAAGGACGTTGCCATGGTTACTGCCCCACGTGGTGGCAGACCTCCGGATATTTTTACTAATTTACATTAAGATGTATTTATTGAGGTGACAGGCAGACCAGCAGCTGCTCAATTTATCGCAAATTGAGATGCATAAAGGAAAGGTGCGCGGCCACGTACGTGCGCACGGCTTTATGCATCCGAATTTTTTTTGTGCGCCGCACTTTTCTAAATCTTTCCGTACGCCAAGTTTTAGTGTGAGAACTGCGCAGTGTTTTATGCACGAGGCCCCAGAACTATTCAACAGCCTGAAATTAAACGGATGTCTTGTTGCAGCTGAACGGACGGACTCCGGTTCAGGTCCCCTTAGCGTCTGCTGAACCACTTCTCTGTTCATGACCTTTGACCTACGTCCACCTTCTTGTTTTCTGGCTGAAGAACCAGATTTATATTTTAAATGTGCTTCAAGCAATCGATGCTACCATGCTCTCAGAGAAACAAGGCCCACAGCATCACATGTCCTCCACCAAACCTACCAGAGGACCTGAGGGGACCTGCTGACCCACCTGGAGGGTCAGTTACTGATCTGATGACATCAGTTCCTGTCCTAGGGAGCTCATGTTTGTGATGGTAGGACAGGAAGCAGATGCAGGCAGTTTTGTCACGGTCGTCATGGTGATGCCACCCTTTGACCGTCTCTGTTGTCGCCCAGGAAATCGGCTTCAGTCCAGCCTGGATGTAGGCCTCTGTGTCACATCACTGGCCTACTTAAAGCCCAGCAGGAGCGGAAATCATAGATTTATAATTTCAGATTCTAGACACTCTGACCAAATTACAGATGGATCTTAGAAATTAGAACGAAATCCTCAGCAGCTTTATTTTTAACTATTAAATATGAAGCTGTTCACTAAATTAATGTAACAATAAAAGATGGAGACAAATTTTCATCTTTGGTTCTTGATAAGCAAGAGATGAACTTCAATAACGGTAAAATAATAACAGCCTCGTCATTATGCAATATTGGAGGTTTTTAGTGATGAAAATAAAACAAACTTCTCATTTTGACATTTAGCATAAATAATTTACTTCCTCTAAACAGCTGATTTAGAGTCAAATGGAGAGAAAAATAGGTTCCAAATGGGTGCAGTAGAGCATGAACTCAGGAGGTTCAGTGCTGAATGAGCTGGTTCTACTGGTTCCTGCTGGTTCTACTGGTTCCTGCTGGTTCCTGCTGGTTCTACTGGTTCCTACTGGTTCCTGCTGGTTCTACTGGTTCCTGCTGGTTCCTGCTGGTTCTACTGGTTCCTGCTGGTTCTACTGGTTCCTGCTGGTTCTACTGGTTCCTGCTGTTTCCTGCTGGTTCTACTGGTTCTACTGTTTCCTGCTGGTTCTACTGGTTCGTGCTGGTCCAGTAAAGCCTCACATGGCCATAAAGTAAAATACTCACCTCTCCGTCCGACTGGCCTGCGGTCGGCTGCTGTCTCAGCTTTGCTGGCTGCAGACCTGATTTGTCACAGATTCATGTCTTCATGCTTCGGCTCCAGAGCTGGAAGGAGCTAGCTGTGTGACAGAGAGAGAGACTGTGTGTGTGTGTGTCAGAGAGTGTGTGAGGCAGCATTAGAGAGCTTATGCAGCATTAGTGAGCAGGATAAGTAGGCCAGCAGGAGCCTGTTAGTTCCACCTGCTGCTGCAGCGCCTCGCTGTCAGCTGATTATCAGCTCAGCTCGACTCTTTCACTGCGTAATTAAACTCATTCTGGAAGTGAAATCCCAAAAACTATGTGGGTTTGATTATTGGATGTTGGTGGAAGGAAAAACTCCACAAAGTTCTGCTGCTACGCCTGGTTGGATGGTTCTGGTCACATGAAGGCGGCCTGCTCTGATTGGACCACTGCGGCCCAACAGGCCGATGGGGGTTCTCCTGACTTTATAGTCTTATGAAAAAGTAATACTGTAAAGTCTTAAATATTTTCATTTTCAAATATGTTTGGATCAGCTATTTCAGTTATATTTCAGCAAGACAATGATGTTTATTGGATTCAATAGATAATGTGCAACATGCATGAAGAAAAGATATGAGTGCAAAAATGTGGGCACCTCAACAGAAAAATGACATTAATATTTATAAGATCCTCCTTTGCAAAAATAACGGCCTCTAGATTCTTCCTGTACTTCTGATGAGTATCTGGATCCTGGGTGAAGGTACTTTGGACCAATCCTCCTTACTAAACAGTTTCAGTTCGGTTGGGTTTGATGGTCGCCCAGCATGAACAGCCCACTTCACACCATCCCACAGACGCTGATGACATTCAGGTCTGGGACGGCCTCTGCACAACAGTTTTTGTTCCTCTGCTTGAATGCCTGAGTGGATTTGGATCATTGTCTGGTTAAAATATTCATCCCCAGCATAACTTTGTAACTGATGCTTGAACATTATTCTCAGTAATCTGCTGGTATTGAGTGGAATTCATGCAACCCTCAACTTTAACAAGATTCCAGCTCTGGCATTGGCCACACAGCCCCAAAGCATGATGGAAGCTCCACCTAATTTTAGCGACTCGGATCCCAGATGCTGATTGAAACCTTTTGACTCTGAAGCAGAAAGAGGTTCTGGTTGTGGTTCTGTCAACAGGTTCTGCTGCAACTGGGTCATTTTCAGTGAAGCTGATGGACTCAGACTGGAAACTCTCTCAGGTGAGGACCCTTCATCTTCCGGGGTCCATAGCATAACTCTAGCCAGAGTTGGGCTTTTACTATGTCTCCTCTGTCTTCAGAGGAGACATCTCCCCCACCTCATGTGTCTCTCCCATCTTCTTGATCCTCTGGGTTCTGTGTTTGCCTCCTCATACAGTTAAAGGTTAATTTGTCCAGATGACATTTTGCTGTCTCAGCTGAGTCTTTGTCCTGCTGCTCTGACCTTTAATCCGCCTCTCAGGATGAAGTCTCAGGTTCTGCTGACCTCAGATCCGTTCCAGGCGCTTTGCGGCTCATGACTCAGGACAAAGAAGTGGGTTTGGGATGTTCTGCCCCCAAGATGTGTTATTCCACAGTGGAACATGGAGGGATTGGAACGGATTCTGGGAATGATTCATCTCAACGGAAAGCCTTGTGCTCCAGAGCAGAGGAGACAGGCTGATCCAGAACCAGCAACAGAACTTCTCTCTGCAAAACATGATGTTCACACCTGCTGTTGGGTCTGACTCTGGTCCCACCCTAACCTGCCCTGGGTCGAGATGAGAACAGGCAAAGAGGACTTCAACGAAGCTCAAAGCCAGGTCTTCTTCATTTAGGATGGATCCAGCTGGCCTCCAAACCCAGAAGACATTTAGCTTTAGTTGGTTTTGTTCTTCACTTCTTTATTGTTTTAGTTGTCCAGAAGAACATCAGTTTCAGTTACATCCCATCATGCCCATTTCACAGATTCAACAGATGCAAGTCACAAAACCTTCATCAAACATTCATATTTCTGTTTGTCTCTGTAGCAACAAAGATGTCCACCCTGTTCTGGAACAGCGTTAAAACATGGAACCACTCAGATACCTGGGAACGTCTGTCCAATATCTGATCCTCTGGGCCGCCCTAAGAAACACACTAATACTCTAAAAGGAGAGACTGTTTGACTTCAGAGGATTCAGACGACTTCTGGATGTTCTGGAGAACATTTGAGTTCATAGTCGACACTTAAAGCGTCAAGTCCGGCAGCAGAGCAACCTGTGAAAGACGTTCCTGAACTCTGCATTGAAGATTGTGTAGATTATTGGGTTAACAGCACTGTTGACATAACCCAACCATGTGACCACAGAAATAAGGGTGGGGCCGATGTCACAGGAACGGCATAACACCTTGGTGACATGGACGGTGAAGAAGGGCGTCCAGCAGGCCAGGAACACGCCTGAAACACAAAGACAGTCTGGCATCAGTCACAGAGGAGCAAAACTGCAGACGCTTGATGCAGCTTTAGAGGAAGATGTGAATTTTATGCTCCTTGGTGTGAAGCTGGTTCCACACCAAGGAGCTCCCACAGTTTCTATTTTTACAGAAGCTACAGCTCATCTGAAGATCAGTTTGTGTCCTGTTCTCATTCTCCGGGAGAAATTGTACTGTCCCATTCTGGGAGGCATTGTGGCCAACAACCACAGAGAGAAAGAAAGTCTCATCAGTGGATTTACATACACTTATCTGGCTCTGAATCTCTTATTCTGACAGGTCAGATCTCTGTGCTTCACCCAGGCCTGGTCCACTGACTCCAGTCTGCTCCCTGAACCTGGCTGGATGTCTGAAAGGCATCTAAACATGTTTCAGATTACAAGCTGATGCTGTTGGTTGACTTAACCAACAGGGACTGCAGAGAAGAATAAAAAGCTAAACTCTCCAGTATTTGTCTCATCTGGTTCCATCCATAATGAGCTCAGTGGCCCAGAGCTGGACGGTGAATGTAACTCTGTATGTGATCCATTTGGATGAGATTTATAGCTTGTAACATTTGATCATTTTTTGGCATTGAAGCCTGTTTTTATATAACCAAATCTCATTATTTCTCAAGGTAATTTACTCTGAGGGGTTCTGGTCGGGTCCTGAACTGGTTAACGGACCTGGTGGAGCACAGAGCCAGAAATGAATGAACTCCAACACCATGATAACCGTGTAGATGTGCTGTTGGGATCCTTGTCCTGTTGTGGACCGAGTTTCAGGAGGCTCTCTGTGGAAGCTGCTCTCAGATGTCTGCATTAACTCTTAACCCTGACCCTGCTGCTGATCGTCCCGAAACTGAACTCAGAATCTTTTCAGATGAATGAGGCAACCCCGGCTCGTTAGCTGGAGCTCTGCTGCTGCTTCACATGTGATTGTTGTCACTCTGGAGAAGATATCAAGCATCACAATGAGGGCAAACCTCCTGCCCTCCTGTGGTCCTGCAGCCGCTGCCTGGTCGTCTTCAGGCCTTTAGGCTCCAAGGTCAGAGACCTTCTCCTCACTTCTTCCAGAAGATATGTTTAGTGGTAGAGATGAACTCATTATAACACATGAACCAGAACAGCCTGGTCATAGAGTGATGAGAACAAAGCTGTTCTAAACAGGATGATAAAGATGTATTTAAGGGTGGATTCTTTAGGGGGGTTTTAAATAATCTACTTAAATTCATGAAAACCAAAAAAAAATTCAAACATATTTGGTTCATTCTGTCAGGAAATGTGATCTAGGATTTTATAATTCAGTTTGAAGCTGTTCTGGTTCTGGTTCTGGTTCTGGTACTCACCAACAACGACCGGCAGAACCTTCATGGCCTTGTGCTCCCTCCCACTGACCCAGCTGGTCTTGCTGGTCCTTCGTCGTCTCTTAGTGGCGTTCTGCCTGCGACTGTTCCCCTCCCTCCTCCCGGTGGGCTCGCCGTCCGACACACTGTCCATCTGAGTGGTCATCAGGTCGCTATCAGCTGCCATCGCTGCCCCTTGCTGGTTTTCCTCCGTCAGCAGCGTCGCACATGGCGTTGCCATGGAGAATGTGGATGGAGAGGTGGGGCTTATAGGAGGCACTGTGTAAACAACCTTCTCCTGGCTACCAGTTGTGTCTTTAGCTCTACGCAGAGCCGAGTCCAGATGAGAAGAGAGACCTCTCCGGCCGACCCGATGGGCCTGGGACCGGCTCCGACTGCTCCAGCGTCGCAGGCCACGGAACATCCAGTAATAGAGGAAGAGCATGACTGGACAAGGCACGAAGAAGGAGCAGACCGATGAGTACATCACAAAATGATCATCCTCCAGCTTGCAGACCGTCGGATCCCGACCCGGCACCTGGTTCAGACCAAAGATGACTGGACTGGCCACGCCTAGAGATACGACCCAAGTTGCGGTGATGAGAGTCAGTTGGCGAACACTGAACTGGTTTCTGTTGTATTTTAGGGGCACTACGACGGCAATGTACCTGCAATATAAGCAGACATACTGAACTCAGACTACAGTTTAGACGATCCCATGAAAGGAAACACCATGGAGTTTTACTGGATGTGCTGAACTTTTCATCACACTGATAAGATGTTCTGAACTCTGACAGGATAGGTTCATATGTTCTCTCTCTATGGCAAGCCGTTTTAACATAAATTCGGTTTTACCGCTGTTACATTCCAGATATCTCAAATTGTTTTGTGACTAAACGTTTTAGCAATTTTAGATATCTCTAATTATATTTCGACTAGACAAAATAACTATTTGAGATATGTTTAATTACATTCTGACTAGTCAAAATGACGTCAGATTTACCATTGATTTGTATGGAGGCTTCAATTCAAGATATCTAAAATGAATTACTGACTATCTGAAATACACATTTAAGATATCTACAATTAAATTATGACTTGTCATTAAGTAAATTCAAGATATCTCAATTTTGGTTTTTGACTAGTCATAATTCTAATTAAAGATATCTCTAATGACTCCATAATTCAAGATATCTTAAATGTATTTTTGGATAGGAGATAGTTTTGACTAGTGAAAATTAAGTTATAGATATCTTAAAAGAAAATAATGACTAGACAAAGCTAAATTTAAGATATCTTGAATTGACATTTCGACTAGTCAGAATGACATTACTGATATTTTGAATTAGTATTCTGTCTACTCAAAACGTCCCTGACTTGCTTAGCAATTTGAAAGTTTAATAAAACAATGAAAAATAGAGAAAACGAAAAAGATGTATCACTTTCATGTTGAAAATGGTTTGACAAAAGCAATTTTAGCGTTTCAAAGCTGTTTTTAAGAGCATTCGGTTCTTTGGGAATGAATAAACAGGAAATTCTTCGCAGACATCAGAAGCAGTCTTATAGTTTATGAAGTTTTGCTATCTCCGCATTTCCAACATTGTCGAGCTCTTTCTAATTTGTGGCATTTACTGACAATTTTGTGCAGGAAACATGAAATTCTGCAGTCAACTGTTTGGACACCACAAAGGGGCTTCCACGTCATTCTTAATTCAGATATCTAAAATTGTAATTTTGACTATTCATAATTGTGTGGAAGATATCTTAAATTGTAATTATGAATGTGTCCCGTCAAATGACAGATTCAGTGACGTCATTTGAGATATCTTGAAAGGAATTTTGACTAGTCAAAATATAATTTAAGAAATCTTGAATTATTATTCTTACTAGTCAAAATGTAAATACAAATATCTTAAATTACCATTCCGGATAGTCAAAATGTAGTTTTGTCTAGTCAAAATGCATTTTTAGATATCTAGAATGTAATTTCGGACAGTCAGACGAAACAGAATTTATGTTAAAATGGCTTGCCATACTCTCTCTGCCTTTCAGAGCTGCAGAAGCATCTAGTCATGTGCCACGCGACAGCCTCTGCTCAGCTGGTAGGCTTCAAATATAGCTTCTCACCCTCTGTCCTAAAAATATATATGTGTGGTCTCAGCCATGTTTGATTCACTGAGGTGTTTTATTACATTTTTAACACTTTGAAAGTTGTTAATTGGACCCATTTTCACTCATCAAACTGGAGGACCAGAAAAGAATCCGTTATCTCCATATCGAGCTGCAGTTTCATTTATTACCATGGAGAATGGATGAGAAAAGTACTTTTTTTTTGTCCCGTGAGCATCAATGTGATCTCTCTAGTAACATGTTTAATGGCTGGAGCTTTTAGTTTAATCATTCTAGATAATGAAGTTCCAGTAAAGATCTGTAGAGGGTGATGATCATTTAAATGGAAATGTTTCCATTAAACCTGAAGGCTTCTGTCTGAAAATGTTAATGATGATTGGTGCCAGGGAGCTGCTAATTAGGTCTATAAAGAAGGCAGCAATTAGAAGCAGCATCATAACCAAAGAGATGGAAGTTGTGCTGTTTGATGCAAGAATCATATCCAGAGTCCATCTGTCTGTCTGTCCATCCGTCTGTCTGTCCGTCTGTCTGTCTTCTACTTGTACGAGGTCAGGGGAATCCAGAAGACGGCTTTGGACTCCCTAACTTCTGCTTGCGGGTTCCCAAAGTGTTCCAAGTCCAGAAGGGATTTTTAGTCCGCCCAATGAGGCCTGGGTTCTGGCCTCTTCCAAATGACTCAAAAGGATGAGTCAGGGTAGGAACTAGATAGACAAGATACTAGAGTGTTACCTTTCAGCTCAGGTTTCCACCACTACATCCTTGAACAACATCTTCATTACTGTGGAAGAAACCCTAATCCATCTATTGATCTCCTGCTCTGTTCTGCCACTCAGAACCAAGACAGCAAAACACCTGAACTCCTTCACTTAGGGCAGAGACTAACCTTGGACAAGAAGACAGCAGGCAGGGTTACTCTAGGGTTTAGGCCCTCAGGTTCCAAAAACAGACTCTCTCCTTTCTACCACACCTTGAGAACTAGGCCATGAACACCTCAACCAGAACCAATGACAGAGATCAGACTTGAATGAGTTTAACCTGGAGAGCAAATGAGCTCAAACTTGTCCTGAAAATGTGAGAACAGCTTTTCATTTGGTCATTTGTAGGAGGTATTGGTGTGAGCTTGGACATCCTCTGTAGTCTGCAGGTCCACAGTCCAAAACACAGTAGGTGTTACCTGACAACCTTTCTATCGGAAGAGACAAACTCTTCTTGAACCTTCACTCCCATGACCTTCTGTCTTCCCTGTCACCCTGCTTCAGATAAGAGAATATGTTGCGTAACATGAAGGACGATGGGGTTGGAGGGTTCCAGGAGAAACTTACCGGTCTACGCTGATGGCACACAAGTTCAAGATGGAGGCAGTGCAGAGCATTACATCCATGGTCATCAGAGCGTCACAGATGGAGGTGCTCAGAGTCCAGGTTCCTCCCAGGAACTACGAACAGTCACAGTTCACAGTCACGGTCGGTTCCTCATGAACATCATCACCTCTCCACCTCCAGAACACCTGACTGACCTCAGAGTAGACGTAGAGCGGTAGCACGAGCACGGCCAGCAGCAGGTCGGCCACCGCCAGGCTGATGATGAAGTAGTTGGTGGCGGTCTTCAGAGAGCGCTCTGTGAGCACGCTCAGACACACCAGGACGTTTCCCAGGATGATGATGAGGATCAACAGGACACCAAAAACCAGGGCCAGGTAGTTGTAGTCCCTCATGCGAGCCTCTCCTGCAGGGCTGCCAGGTGTCACATTTTCCATGATGGAGAGCTGGCTTAGGGTTGGCCTGTAGCTTTCATCTGGAGAACATTGAGTCAGAGGGGTTGGAGGGTTAACAAGAGAATGGTAGAGGAAGGGAGCTCACCTCACTGATACCCAGCTAAAGTAATGGCTCAGAGGAATGACCAGAAACCTCAAAGCTTCACCCACACAAGTTTAGCAGGTCAGAGGTCATGACCCTGAACCAGTCTGGATGCCGGGAGCAGCTGAAGAAGTCAATGAGTGTCCATCAGCTGAGGCTCGGTCCAAACTGGGTCAACAACAACCGTGATCCAAACACAGCAGCAGATTAACAATAGAATGGTCTAGTCAAAGTCCAGAGAACGATAGTCATTTGGGAACCAGCATGAGGCGACTGGATACCTTGAGACATGTTTGAAGGAAGAACTGCCTGAGCTGGACTACCTCGTGGTGTCGTCTGGGTCAGAACCTCTGACCCGGACCAGCTGGTCCACCGAGGGTCGTCTCATGAAACTCGGTAACTAGGAGGCACTGCAGCGCCTCCTTTTTGTTTCCTCTGATATGTTGAGTCAGTAACCATAGCAACAGGCGTGAAGGCGGTTCCCTCCATGTGAAGCGATCATGCTAATCAGAGCGTGGAAGACAGCGGGGGCGGAGCCTCAGCAGGTGTTCTCCAGGTTTCAGCAGGACCATCATGGCAGATTTGGATCATATGTGGAGCAACAGGAAGTGACATAATGAAGCAATGAGGTCATCAGGTTATGATGAGGTCACATGACACTGAGGTGTGCTTATAATCCATAATCTTTTCATTAATATAAATTAGGAGCACATCTGTCACATCTGCTGTGATCTGATGAGGAGGAGCTGAGCTGAGGGAGGTCATCCTTTCACAATAAAAGCCTCCAGCATGACATGAATTTACATTAAAAATCAGTCCGCAGAGACGGAAAGAGCAGAACCCAAAGCTCCGACCAACCGGCCAATCAGAGACCAACCCCCCCCCGACTCACTGCTTTGGAAGCGGGTCGACTCCAGAGGTTTCTGAATGTCCTATCATTTCAACCAGGCTGATATCTGGACTTTGACTAGGCCCCTGCAGCAGTTTGATCCTTCAGCATGTTCTAAAGGTTCTATTGTGCTTGGGACCCAGCTTGGATCAGCTAACAGAACCCGCATCAGACATTCGAGGAATCAGAGTTACGTTTCTTGCCGTTTGCCAGTAAAACTAAAAACTTAAAGATAATAAATAAGAACAAATAAAAACATTTTCCATAATCCATAAAAGACAACAATAATCCTGGAGGCAGAGACAGTCCTCTGTCTGTCTGGACCTCCTGGTTCTAACATGGTTGGCCAGGTCAGAACTTCATAAAGTTCTGCTGCAGACCAGTCGGTCCTGGCTTTGATTGAATGAAAGTCATTTTAATATTTCAGTAGAAGGAGAACCAACAAAACGTAGAGAAAGACGAGTCAAACTCACAGTTTCAGAGCTTCCCCTCTGCCTCTTCCTCCTCTTCTGTTTTTATTTCCTGTCTCTCATGTCCATCCTGTCCACTCCATCCGTCCTCCACCTGTAGCTGCTCCCGACTCCGCTGAATAACTTTCTGCTTCTATAAAAAGATTCAGCATCCAAAGCCTTCCTCCTCTTCCTCACTCCCTCTCTCTCTGCTGCGCTGTGATTGGCTGGCAGTCAGCAGCGATGAAGACTGCCTCCTCTTCATCAATCCAGCTGGATCTTCCTCCTCTGCTGCTGGAACCAGAACCACCACAACCATCACCTCATCACAGGTGAGTGAATTAATTGGGAATCCACAGCGGCGCAGTTGTTAGCACTGCTGCTTTGTCCTGAGTTCAAGTTCCAACCCGGGACTGAAACCTAAAAACGAAGAAAATTTGACTCGATATGTAAAATCTCCTTCAGCGGGTCAGAGGTCATCTGGGGAGTAAAGAGCAGAGTGTGATCAGCATAGAGCTGATGTCACCCAGCGGCAGTATTAAGACAATTGGACCTAAGCTTGAGTCCTGAGGGACACCGTAGTGTAGACCAGAGGTGCCCCAGTTAGCCGTGAACCCTCCGTCCTGCTTTAGATGTTACACCTGCAGTACCTCCTTTATCCTCCAGGGGCTGCAGCAGCAGGAAGACACCAGAAACATGGAGGGCTGGGTTGGGGACCTCTGGTTCCGACCTAAGGTCAGGCACTGAGATGTTCCTGAAGTCCAGTCTGTCTGAAGTCAGGAGTGCTCAGCAGAACCAGACTAAGGTCCAGTAGAACTTTGTAGGCTCTGCTGATTCCTTTTAACCCCAAACGGGTTGGTTCTGAGACACGGGTCTGGTGGGGTGAGGGTCCTGCTGGTCCTCTGGTTGTCTGGTCCAGGTCCAAAGGTCTCTGTGGGCCTATGTGGCTCTTCCGGACCTGAGGTTCGTCTTGGTTCCTTAAAACTTCCAATATTCTTCAGGAGTGTTTCTCATATGGAGGGAACCTTCATCCACAAACCGGAGCATCTTTAGGACAAGACCGAGTCCAGTGTGTGTACTGGCTGAACTGGGCCGGGACCAGCGAGGCAGACATGGAGACATGGAGTCTCCCTCGCTGTTGGAGATCTGGAGAGGTTTTTGGGACAAAGATGTGGTCAGGTGGGGTGGTGCAACATCTCCCTGTGAGATCAACTGGTGTGACCTCTGCTCCAGCGGCTGGAGGACCAGACCTGATTGTTCTGAGTCTCATAATGAGCTGAGAGGCGAGGAGGATGCTGCGCATGCTAATCAGTCTGTGTTATTAGCATTTGTGAGAGGAAGCTGCAGAAATGCTCTTTTATCCTCATTCATCCTGCTGGACGCATGTTTCATAAATAATTCATGACCAAACTGAGTCTGGAGAAGAAAAACTCCCCAGTTTAACTAAACCTACCAAAGACGCTGCAACACTTTTGTTAAACTGCTGCTTTGCTGGAAAAACCTGCCGCTTCATTTAAATAACGGATTATAGAGTGCAGCTGGACTAATGAGGTTCAACACGAGCTGCTCACACATTTCATTTCTTTCCTAATGGAGGCCATATTTATCCATCCTCTCTGCTGGGCCGATGGAAGGGGTCACTGAGCAGGTTGACCATCAGCAACAGGACGAGGAAGGTCAGCAGGTTCAGTTGGTGTTTCCTCTGGGTTTACTGCCTGCAGGGACCCATCAAGAGAACCCATTCTACCTCAAAGGTTTGATGAGGATTAATCCAGAGTTGGGTTTCTGGAGGGAGATGGCTGCTGTCCTTCTGAACCACTGGACCACAGATTGATGCTATCAAACGATTAAAAGGGGTTTTATAAAAAAATAAAACAACAAAACAGTCTATAAAACGATGATGATTGCAGTTCTAATAATATTGATCCAGTCACTGGTTTTGACGTGGACTCATAGGGAGAGTGATGGAACCAGGAGAGGAAGATCGGCTCCCATTGTCCACAAATGAGGTTTAGAAGTATGAAATTTGTGAATTTAAATTCAGATTCAGTAAACAGGAAGTGGATCTTCTAACGGACAGGACTCCTCGGGTAGCAGCTCATGTTCTCGTACCTGGAGCTGTGAGCAGGTTCTCCAGATCTCCATCTGATGGAGTCAGAAGGTTGGAGGAGAACGAAGGCTTGGATCTGACGAGCAGAGATAAAGCTGCTGCTTCTCACTCTTCATCCAGGAGTCTGAGGACCTGGTCACATGACTTTCCATCAAGTACAGCAGAGAGCAGCCATCTTTGTTCTCCTTCATCACTGTGCTTTAGAAATGAAACCACTTCCTTCACGTCAGGCGTTGTTGATCCGCTGCCTGCTGAGAGGCGGAACGGCTCCAAATGTTTTCTGATTGTCTCCAGACGTGAAGATGGTCAGAGGAGGAGAAACTGAGATGAGCTTCAACTTCTGCAGAGTGTTGCTCAGCCTGAAATCTGCCAGACATTACTACCATTCAGTTACAATTTACTAAATAATAACTTGGACTAAACTCACTTGTTTAGATCAAAAACATTTAATCAGAATCCACATCTGTGAATAAATTATGTTGAATTTAAATGAATAAGCAGATGAAAAGCTTTTTGCTCCTCTGCTGCCACCTGCTGGTCAGGAGCTGCAGCTTCATTTAGAGCCAACTGAGGCTGTGGAGAAACTGAGGTTCACTTTTCCTCCGCTCTGCTCTCTGAAGGTCCTACTAAAATCAGTCTGAGTCTGGACTTTGACTAAGCCACTGCATAAAAACGTCTCTGAACAGGACCTAGAGTTGGACTGGAACACAAGATAAACATGATTGTTTGAAGTTATGAAAAATATGATAGAAATGGAAAAATGCTGAATGTATTTTAACCAGAAACTTTTCAGCTTTTAAACCTGCAGCTTCCCATTAATATAAAAGTTTTACAATCATAGATGAGGTCAAAGTTTCATTAAATAACTCCTTGAACAATTCGACTTATTCAACCAAACATTAAACAAGCAGCAGACCATCATCTCCACTTTTTACCTGGAATCAATTATAATTTGTATTCATGTATTGAACTTGACAGAGTTTTTTAACCTGATGTCTTCTCATTTAAAGCCTTTTTTTTCAAATGTTTCAGATTACGTCAAAATACTAAAAGCAGACAGCAGTCATCAACTCAGCTGCTCTGCCCCTGAGGAAGCACAGGGTGACAGAGGACCACGCGAGTGACTGCAGCAGCGTTTCTCGCTTAGACATTAGAAAGAATCAAAGAAGGTTGACCTTGTGTTATGATGTATTAATTTTTAGTAATAAGTGGAGGACCCAAAAAATTTAACTCAAGTAAATGTAAGTCGTTACTCTTCACCTCTGGTAATAATAAACTCCCGGACCGGATCACATCATTTCTGATGGCTGGTACTCGCGTCGCACCTTATCAGGTTCAAAGGACCCAAAGTGCTTCACATTCACACGCTGATAACTATAGAAAATGAAGCGCTTCAAGGATTTAAACTGAAGAAAAAAACCTGAAAACTCAGTGAAAAGAATGATTTTAGGTTTAAAATGTAATAAAACAGGAGAAGCTGCAAGTCAAGAGACTAAATCAGATCCATCAAACCTCCAGGAGAGACGAAGGATTTGTCACGATCCGTTGGGCTGGGAATGGAAAACAGAAACAAGTCAGAAGAACTGGGAAGTTCCCAAAGGAAGCAGGAAGTTCTCAAAAGGAAGCAGGAAGTTCCCAACAGGATACAGGAAGTTCCCAATGGGAAGCAGATGATGTGATCCTCTAGATCAGCATCTTCCTGTAAGCAGCAAACATGTCGCAATTTCTCACTAATCCCGCTTGATTTTAGTCTGGAATTTAGGCTCGACTTCCTGGATTAGAGGCAAAGGGCTGCAGAGAAGAACCGGACCGGATTACAGGAGGTTCTGGAGAGTTTTGTTGGACCTGAATAACCCAGACTGACTATCTGACTGGCTGACTATTTCTCTGTTTCTCAGCTTGGAAGTCTCTGTTGCCTAGCAACCGTTCCAGACGGATGGAGGCGACTGCGGTTTCCAGCAGAGATGGACACGGAGCAGCTCTGAACCGGGTCTCGTTCTCTCGACTCTGCGAACGGAAGGCTCCCCTGCAGCGATTCATCAGACCTCAGCTGATCGGGAAGCTTGGAGGAAAAGGAGGGAGAAGAGGAAGAGGAGTCTGTGAGGAGTAAGAAGAGTTCCTGGCAGGAAACGGTTAAATGTTGCGTCTTGCGGCTCCGCTCTGTATTCCCGTCATGAGCGGCGAGCGTCGGAAGCATCGAGTGACGTCAGTCGGCATCGCAGGCGGAGCGGACACTGAGGGGGAAATATAGGACATCGAGGAAGAGGAGGAGGAAGAGGACTGCAGTAATCCAGAGAGAAGCAGAAAGAAGCAGCTCTTCATCAGGTACGTTTTCATCGCCTGATGCAGCAGGTTCAGCTGCTGCAGCACATTAAAGGAGCAGTTCCACATTTATGATCATGAAACTAAAAACAATGAAAACAGAAAAACAGCAAAAGAAACGAGATGTTCTGGTTCTGGATGTTCTGGTCGGTTCTGAGGTCAGTGGGTCCGCATGAACATCTTTTGCAGTGAAACATGAAGGATGAATTCTGTTTCTGGTGTTAACCGGTCCACCTGTTGACCCACCGGAACTGATTCTGGTCAAAGAGACGATGACAGTAAAGATGTCGTCTTCTCCTCTGGACCAGACGATTGGTGTAGAACACCCTGAGGTCAGAGGTCAGGATCTGCGTCCCTTGGTCTCCAGATCTGATTTTATGAAAAATGTTCAGATCTCAGAAAATGTTTACCTGCTTTAGTATTTTTGCTCTGGATGTTCAGATTGAGACATTGTCAGAAAATCCATAAAATATGCATAAAAATGATCAAATATTTAATGATCTCCTTGCTGCTCTGCTGCAGATTGGACTGCTGCCGTCCTCCTGTCTCTGATCACCCGTCTCTGCCTCCCTCCTCAGTTTTCTTGAGGCCCCTGCAGGATGAAGGAGGTACTGCGTCTCTCTCTGTCCAGAGCTTGACCTGACCTCCGACCTCCCCTCCAACACTCTGCAGCGTCAGAAGCAGCTCCTCCTGCATCGGTCGCATCATGGACGGCTTCCGGCTGCCGCCCGTCATTGAGGAGGTGCTGGACCCATCTGGTCAGTGATGAAGATGTTCTGGTAGTTCTGTTAGGAAAGCATCAGTCAGTGTTCATGCGGCTGCGAGTCTGGACGGGTTCTCTGGGCGGTTCTGGAGGGGAATTCTCCAGGAGTTTGTTCGGCCGTCTGGTCCTCCCAAACCATCATCAAACATCCAGTAGTCCTCAGAGCTACTGTACGGTCTTCATCCCCAACATGGTAATGGTGGTGATGATGAAGGTGATGATGAAGGTGATGAAGGTGATGATGAAGGACCCTGCAGCTCTAACGTTTTAGTCTTTCTTCCAGGAAATGCAGGAATCATGACTTCATGCTGCCGTTTTCCCAATCTTGAGTTTTGAAACATTTAAAATTGTTTTCATGATGGATGGATTGATTTATTCATTTCTGTGGTACTGAGTTTTCACCAGCAGAGGGAGCCAGAGGACAGACTCCTTAGGCTGGTTTGTCAGTTTCCTGATGTTTGGAGCCAGGAAGCTGCTGCAGCAGTTCAGGAACTCCTTGTGTGACTGTCTGCAGATGAGCTGTGTGAGCTGAGGGAGGACAAACCCAGCAGGCTGGCCCTGACGGCCAAGGAGAGGGAGTCCATGGAGGAGAAGGAGGAGCCTGAGGGAGACGGAGAGAAGGGCCAGCAGGAGGAAGAGATGGAAGTGAAGGAGAGGGAGTCTGAAGATGACGATCAGGGAGAGGAGGAGGAGCTGGAGGAGCTTAGAGCTCAGGTGCTGCAACTTCTCCTGGAGCTGGATGAGACTCGAGAGGTTTCTCAGCGACATGAGGAGAGCTTCATGGAGATGCAAGGTGAGGCAGGATTGGTCACCTGTTGTCATAGCAACACCACCGACCCATATTCAATGTGCGCTTTTTTAAAACCTTGTTGACCTCTAGTTGACCTGCTTTTCCTCCAAAGGTCTGCTAGATGAGGAGCGGCTGGCGAGCGCCCATCAGGCGGAGAGCTTCACCCGGCAGATCCAGAGGCTGCAAGGTGGAGGAAGCCACACACTGATTCTACTGGACTTCTGGATCTGGACTGGTTCTGAACCAGAACTGAACTGGTTCTAGTTCAGAACCAGTTTAAACCAACCAGTTTGGTTGGGTCAGAACCCGGTTCTGAAACCTAACCAACCAGGTTTGGTTCTGACCCGGTTCTGACCGTGTGGGCGCTGCCTGGCTGGTTTTGGCTCTGACTGGCTGAGTCATGTCTCTCTCTGTTTGGTTGTTGCAGCTCAGCTTCGGTCGGCGCAGGAGGAGATGAGCAGCCTGGAGGAGGAGAAGGAGAGCGAGCTGGTGGAGGTCCAGCAGGAGCTGCGCTCTGCTCAGGAGGAGGTGTTGGTGCTGCAGCAGGCGGCCGAGGAGGCAGCGGCAGAGAGGGAGAACGACATCGCCTCCCTGCAGGAGGAGCTCTGCCGCCTGCGGGTGGAGCTGCAGCGCCTGCACGCCACGGCAGACGAGTACGAGCTGGAGGTCACCTCGCTGAGAGCCGAGCTGAGCATGAAGAGCCACCGCACGGCCCGGTCAGGTAACCTAGCAACACAGACTAGCAACGCAGCCTCATGTCTGGACCAGTCAGGAATCTGCTGATTGATGGGCGGTGGTGTGTTCAGGTGATGTGACTCAGCTGCAGGAAGAGTTAATTTCTCTGACCAATGAGCGTCAGACTCTGAGCAGCAACAGCACAGAGTTGATCAACAAGTTGGAACAACTGCAGCAGCAACGAGACATGTGAGTGGTTCCGGTCCAGTGTTCAGCACTAAGACTGAAACGTTGCTGCTGGTTCTGGTAGGTGGTGAAGGACTGGATCAGCTGAATGTTCTCATCCTTCTTCCCTGGTTGTCTCAGGTGCGGTGACTCGTACCTGGAAGTCAGAGCTGAGGGCCAAACTGAGGATGACGATCAGCTAAAGGCAGATTCCTACATCACTCTGTCCCAGTCCAGATCCGAACTGCAGAGTCTGGACTCGTCAGCAGTCCAGGATGAAATCAGGACCCTGAAGGTCCAGCTGAGAATGGCAGAGGAGTTGGCTCTCAAGGTCCAGCTGGAGGTATCGGGTTTAGCTCCCGTTGCTTCCTGCTCTCTGGTTTTCAGTAGATTCTTATAAACGTTTGCTATTTTCGGGATCGGCTGGTTGCTTTTTATCCAGTGGTTAAACTCAGTTGTAAGTTATGGTGTCATTAATACCAGCCTGCCACTGCTGTCTGATGAACACCAGGCGTGGATGTTCCCTGTGTCAGTGTGAAGGTCTGAAGAAGGAGCTGGAGGAGCTGCAGCAGCTGCATGAAGGCAGCCAGCGGGAGCGAGCAGCTCTCCAGCTGCAGCTGCAGAGCTGCAAGGCGGAGCTGCAGGAGCTGCTGGGACGAAAGTTGCAGGTAAGAGGTCAGAAGGTCAGTGGGAGCTGGGTGGTCCTGCCTTGAAAGTCAGACAGCTTAGGGTTTCTGAAGTAGTCAGTGAGGAACACCAGGTTCCCTCCAAGGTAAGAACAAAGATCTGCTCGGTGAAACCTCGGATGCCTTGAGAGTCCAGCCCTCTGTTGTCATGACTACTGTCCATGTGTGTGCATGCTGGCTGATAACTCTGCAGCAGACCTTTAAACTTTTAGTTGCAAGCTTCTTAACATTTTTGAGAACATTTGTTTTCTCCATGTGTCTGCCTCGGTGTCTGCTAAACTGACTGATGGAGACCGTCTACATGTTGACGAGGAACCGCCTGGGGTCACGTTGGGTCACTGTGTAGCTGAACCTCATATGAATAGCAGTCTGAGCTGGAGCTGGGATGAACTTTGACCTGGAAACATCCAACACTCACCAGGACTTCAGCTGCCTCAAGAGGCTGAAGAATTAAAACTGAAGTTGGTTTGAACTTGAACCGAAAAGGTTTTATGGTTACAGAGAGGGTATCACATGACCCAAACGTTTGCTCAAGGGCTCATGAGTATGGGGATTGTAGTAAGCAAAAGATCAACCCAGTTCGGCCACAGCCTGTTTCACAAGATCTGATAGAAACTCAAAGTTTGTCTTCTTTATGTGAGACAGATGTTCCTGCTGCTTCATCAGTGCTTCAGTCTATTAACCTGTTGGTCTCAGGTTGTCATTCACAATGACAGGGGTGTCAAACTCC